ACACTACCATTTAAGTTTTGGGTGAGTTTTTCTTTTTTAACGAAAAAGATTCAGCAAGAACCCATTCAATTGATTAAAAATGATACTAAAGACATTTACAATGCCACAAAAGATTTCTATTTCAAATGAATGCTTTTGAAATTTTTTAAAGAATCTTGAAACATGTATCACAGTTTCTACAAAAATACTAAGCAGCACAACTGTTTTTAACTTTGATAATATTTTTAAAATGTTGAAGCAATGTTTGAAAAGTTATTTTAAATTGTAATATTTCAGAATATTACTGGTTTACTGTATTTTTGATCAAATAAATGCAGCCTTGGTTAAGCATAAGAGACTTATTGAAAAAATCTTACCAATTGCAAAAATTGCTAATTGTTATTAATGGTTATTTATTTGTTTTTATATGGAAATTAATATTAAATGTTAATTTGCTGTTATAAAGTTTTTAAAATGTGTCGATACTGTAGAAAACCCATATCAGTCAAGCACTAAGCCATGGCTTTTTAAGCTTGTTTGTATGTTTAATGGCACTCTTCTCCACCCTTCAGTAATCTGAGGAACAGGGGTAGTTCTCTGTGTGACATCTCCATCCTGGTGGTGGATATCATGCACGGTTTAGAGCCACAGACGATCGAATCCATCAACCTGCTGAAGGAGAAGAAATGCCCCTTCATAGTAGCACTTAACAAGGTACCAGATACTGACTACCGAATGCTCATACTGATGATTGCAGCAAGTATTTAAATACTAATGTGTTTCTTTCTCAGATTGACCGTCTGTACGACTGGAAGAAGAGTCCAGACACAGACGTGGTGGCCACACTGAAGAAGCAGAAGAAAAACACCAAGGATGAGTTTGATGAGAGGGCTAAAGCTGTCATCGTGGAGTTTGCGCAGCAGGTCTGTTGTCATCGTCTTGTACAGTACAGTACAGTCCCATTTGCTGTTGAGCTGCAAATGTCTCCTGTTGAGTTTTACATACAAGTGCTGTCTTGTTCAACCTTCAGGGACTTAACGCTGCCCTGTTCTACGAGAACAAAGACCCTCGTACGTTTGTGTCCCTGGTTCCCACATCGGCCCACTCGGGTGATGGGATGGGGAACCTCATCGCCCTGCTGGTGGAGCTCACTCAGACCATGCTGGCCCGCCGCCTGGCTCATTGTGATGAACTTCGAGCACAGGTCATGGAGGTAAAATGAGTTCCTGCTAACAAATCGTGACAGTCTGGTTTGGTATGTTTAATCACAATAGTTTGGTTTTTTTCTTCCCATGGAGCCCAACTGTAATATAACCTCTGCTGTCCATCCTCTATATCTTAGGTAAAAGCTCTTCCTGGAATGGGTACGACGATAGACGTCATCCTGATCAACGGTTGTCTACGGGAGGGTGAGACTATTATCGTCCCCGGTGTCGACGGACCAATCATCACTCAGATCAGAGGGTTGCTCCTCCCACCACCCCTGAAAGAGCTCCGAGTGAAGGTCTTATGCACAATTATATGTTTAGTTTGCTGTAAACTCTGAGCTTGTTTGTATCTCACTTGTTATATTTTTCTTCTCTCTGGATACAGAATCCGTATGAGAAGCATAAAGAAGTGTCTACGGCTCAGGGAGTCAAGATCCTGGGAAAAGATCTGGAGAAGACGCTGGCAGGTCTGCCTCTTCTCGTCGCTCATAAAGAGGATGAAATTCCAGTGCTGAAGGTAAGTGTGCTGCTTTACAAACCAATCAGTCATGTCCCTCTCTCTAAGAACATTCTGCTTTTCTTTGTCTTTCAGTCCTTTTCTCGTTCTTACATTAATCAGTCAAACGTCAGAATTAACAGTTAATCTTATTGCTACATTGGTGACCTTTCCTGTATCCTGATGTTGGTTGTTTCTAGGACGAGTTGATCCGGGAGCTGAAACAGACTCTGAATTCCATAAAGCTGGAGGAGAAGGGTGTGTATGTGCAGGCCTCCACACTCGGCTCTCTGGAAGCTCTGCTGGAGTTCTTGCGTACATCCAAAGTGCCTGTAAGCTTTCAAAGACTCACACATACTCTCATAAAACCCATTCTATAATCTTTTATTGAAGAAAAGATATATCAGCCACTATTTTTAAGTTTATAAGCATTGGCTAACTGAGTTTTTCTGTTTGGCTGAAGTGTTAGAAGCGGGACTTTTATTTTAACAGCACTGAAAACGCTGTCTGAGCACATGGATCTTCATTAGTTCACTCATTAGTCTTAGTTTAACAGTTCTGTTTAATCAATTATTACAGTGCTTATATCATTTGTATAGTGTTTTTTTCCCCCCCGAAATTTCCGAAAAGCACTGTAATAGGATGGCGTGATCAAGAAGTTGCCATCTAAAGTTTACTTTTTTTTTAAAAAAAATTTTTATCCAGGTCAAATTATTTTTTAATAATTCATTTTCAAACGATTTATTTCTAATTTAGTAAACATTATGTAAAACAAATTTATTTTCAACTACTGTTATGCATCTCAGCCATCAAAAAAAATCTATATCGGTCAACTACTATTGAAGAAATTACATTTACGAGCTACTCTGAAAGAGACACCATAAATTGACGGCATCTCTCTGCGACGCACAAATAGCTCTCCTAAGTTTAATGCTAGTATTTTGCGTAAAATATTGGTCAGTTTTTAATTAGATTTTACTTGTTTTTTTATATTTTGAAGAATTAAATGAAATGCAAATATATTTATAATCCGCTGTAGTGTTTCAGGGGTTTGTATCCCCACTTAAATTCTCCCTCTGTCTCTCAGTATGCTGGCATCAACA